ATTATTTAAAAGTTTTAAAATTCATGTAGATAACTGAGATTAATTGAAAAGATCAAATGTATCGCAGTGTATTTCTCTCAGATGCATACATAGTGTCTCATAGTGTACTCATATGAACTACAAATGTGAAGTTTATATAAAAATATTTAATTAAAAACTCATTATATGGAGTTTTTAAATTTGTTAATCAAAAAAATATAGCTTACATACATAACCTTAAATATAAGGTTATTCGAAATGTGATTCTATTTATGAAAATGAACGACGAATTTTTAAATAAATAATATTTAAAATAAATAAATATTATTTTAACTATACATATATTATCCGTTGTGGTTCAATACTTTTAGCCATTTTTGTGGCAGTGCCATATTTTTGACTTCATAAAATTTGTGTGCTTTGCTGGCATCTCTTTCAGGTCACTTTTGACTTTTTCGATTGAAGAAACGGTCTAAAAAATTTCATAGACACCAGAATAAATAATAATCAGAAGGTACTAATTTGGAAAATATAATGACAGTGGCAGTACATCTCATTGAAGCTGTTTTTTTTTCCGATGTGGTATTATCAACCAGAACTTACTGATTGCTAAATTAGTTTATAGATATTCTAATTTAACTTACAAAAACTAATTTTGTTAGATTTTAACATATTTATGAGTTAACCTTTTCAAACAAATCAAATTTTTTGTAATACTTACGAGAACGTTTCGAAAACCGGGGTAAGTTCTCGCTAGCTGCGACTAATAAAGCGACACAAAAACCAATTACGAAATTGGTGACCCCGACGTGATCTCTGAAATTTCTGTTTAGCAACATAACTTTCAGTCACTTTAACACGACACGGCCGGCTAAGAGGAATGAAGCCAGTCCATAGATCAAAGATATTTTGCCAAAGTGACGAGTTCGTAGAATATTTATGAACTACTTCAACAGTAAGCAAAGTACCATGGTACATTTGGACGAATGACATCCTCAGGGACCTCAAGATAGAGCCCTGAAATTATTTGCGAAAACTGACAGACTTACCAATACCGCACTATAAAATCTCAGAATGGTTACAGCCTCCTCGGGGAGGTACGCAGATCTGAGGTCAATTATTGCTAAGTCTAATGAAGTGATAAACAATAATCCAGTCGAGGCATAAAGAGGGGTTTTGAAAATACCTCGAGTTAGGAAAGATTAAGAGTGCTTAAGTACAGTGGCTCAAATAGCTTTAACATAAAAAAGTAAGCAAGTTGTGGTTGGTGACATCACACTGACATCGTAGCTGGCGAGTTTTTAAATTTGTAAGGGGCCTCGATGAAGTTGATGAAACGGTGCCATTTTTCTATTTATTAATTCCGTCCTTCGCCTAAATAATTTCATTCATTTCTCAATTCTCATTTTATAAGTTTGGATTGCGTGAAGACTAAAATACTAGAAAATTGCCAGTAAGCAGATAGTAAGGTCGATAAGTAGATATTTATTTCAGATAGGTACTGGCTTGTCTACGAATAAATTAGTAGGCACATTGATACGCTGAGACAGTGGCAAATCGACCGTGTAAATCAATTCGTTTCTTTGATTTTATCAAGAATCTATAGACTTATTTACTATATTTTCTATATTTTTTCAGCTTTCCAAACAGCATGGGAAACTTGGTGTAAATTTCCTTGTCAATATTGTACTAGGTATAAAAAATAAAAATCAGTATTAAAAACCAAATTATTTATGGATATTATTTCAGAAAAAAATTGATAAACTTATTTTTTACTGCAGAAAAGTTTTCTAATAATCAATTAATGAAGAAAGAATCCGATAAATAATATTAATAAAATTCCTATAAACAAATTAAATAAATATTTTTATATCGCCACTATTTATAAATAAATATGTAGGTATATAAATATTAATTTATGTGTAAAAAAAACAGTAAAGAGTGAATTCCACCAATGTTTGTACAATTTCTACATTAAATTTACAGTCTGTATCGTTTCTGTCTATTATATTTTAATTAGTTACTTTAATATAATAAAAACTATTAACTGCATTAGACTGACAACTAAATTAGCATAGCAATGCTAATGAAATATTATACTTGCCACTTATCTACAACTTTTATTGCATCTCACGGTACAGTAAATTTTCACACGCTGCGGATAACTTGAAATGCTAATCTGAACTACATTTGAAATATTCGTATAAAAAAATAATAAATAAAAAAAAACATAATTTCACTTATAGATAGTGTTAGAATTTAAGATAATAATTTTAAGAAATTACTTGGAAGTTGCTTAATCATAGAAGATAAAATATGGATATAAGTATGTACAACAGTATCTTGCGCGTAAAATAAATTGTAGATAGATTCTCTCAAAAATTGGATAAGCTACCAGGCCATCAGGTGGTTGAGCAAGTCACTGAGTTGAGATTATATCTTTTATTCTGATAATTTTATCTTAAGTGTGTAAGTTGTGTCTGTGCTTAAAAGTAGTTAAACTTTTCTCTGCTTTTAAAATGGTTTTGTTTTTATTTTGTCAATATTTATTTAGCGATAAATATATAAATTAGGAAATAGTCCACAATCGAAAGTTTAAATTAAAAATATATTCAAATCTGGGAATGAACTTGAAATTACAGATACTTAGCACCGCTGTTAATATAAAAATTAAATGTATTAATTAAATATTATTGTAAATTTATTGACTGTTTTTAAAACGTACCTTTATGAGTTTATATATTTATGTGTTTTTAATAAAATATATCTCCAAAAATTTAATTTAATTCGCAAGTGTTACAATTTGTGACAGTGGCGGTATAATAATTAAAAAATCTAATTTCATTTTTGTAAGTTTTTAATAAATTTTCTTCTTTTAAGATATAAACCGTATATATATATAAAGTATTTAAATGTTTATTACAAGATTTGTTATTATATATATAAATAAATATAAATGTTTATAAAGTATTTAAATGTTTATCACAAGATTAATTATTACATATATATATATATAATATATATAATAATAAATCTTGTGATAAACGTTTAAATACTTAAAATACTAAAAAAATAAATATTTCATTATTGATAGAGGAGAGTTTAGAAAAAAGATTTGACAACATTTTTAAATGTTTTATTAATTGAATTCAAGACCTACACAGGTCTACTCATGTCAAAATTAATAATATTACAGTAAAATAATTAATTAATTATATATTTAAATATATGATTTACTCTGATCTGTATTACATACTAAGTTCGGATTCAGTAGATTAATGCTCTATTCGTGTTTTCCATTAGCCACTATTTCAGTGTATTTCAATTCACGGTTTTACCTATAGATAGGTTAGGTTGGAGTGGCGGCTTTGTACCATATGAGATCAAATCATGTCGTACTATAGGATTGGATTACCTATAGATAATTAAATCAAAAATTTTTATTATTAGGTACTTCAAAACATGTCATGAATATTTAAAATAATGTCTAATGATGGCATATTGCGAAGTATTCACAGACCCTTGATATGTCTCTTTTGGAGATGTCTGAATAGGAAATCTTTCTGAAAAGGTTGACTTTACCATATATAAACCCGAATTCATAGGAAAATTATAATTCACGAAAAGAAATTGTTAGTTCTTAAAATGATAAATATTTAAATGAAGGACATTAATAAAAAACTGAATACAATCAGTAATATAGCCTATTTTAAGAGTAATACAATGATTTTTAAAGTTCACTGATATTTCATTTCCGTTTATTACTTAAAATGTAGGTTTTTAAGCTTCAGCTTTATAATATCAGTAGGATTGAATTTTGAATATCATTAAAATTAAAATTTTCATTAAAATAAAATTTTTCATTAAAATTAAATGTCATTCCTTGGATTATTCTTTTCAGTTTGTGAAACTGTATTACCTTGAGCACAAAGAGCACTTTTTTCTACTTCATTTGAGATAGTTTTTTTTGTGTAATATCTTTATTCAATCTTAATAATAACGTCATTTATTATTTGCTATATATTGCAATTTTGTTCTGAGAATAATTAATGAATAAATCATAATTCAATGAATATTATGTGTATTCCAAATGAAGAGAATCGTTTATTACCGGTTGCTGCCTAATCAGTTTGTTCAGGTTATACTCAGATAAAAATTAGGGATGCAGCTAACTGCACCAAAAAATAAAAAATTGAGTGATTCATAAATTTCATATAGTTCAAAATCTATATATCTAATCTAAAATTCATATACAGATAGCCCATATATCTTAAACATCTTCTATCTTTAAGAAAGGCTATTTTAAAGAGGAAGTTAATATTAATTATCGCGAAATAAAACCAAAAAATTAAAATTATTTTAAATTTAGAATGACGCTTTTTTAAAAAGTCTTTTCTATAATATTTATTTTGTTTTATTTTGCACAATATGTGATCGATTATATGTGATAAAACAGATGCTTGATCAAAACGAAATTTTTATTTTATAATTTTTGTTAGACATTCGACATAAAAAGTTCCGATGCATACCTCATCAGTATTTTTTACTACCCAAATAGCACAAAATGATAAACGCCCATGGTGTGGCATTAAATATTTAAATAATCTTTAAGAATACAAAAATGAAGATAAAAATTACACAAGTAAACAAACAACAAATTTATCTTAAATTTGCAATAATGTTTCTCGTATCTCAAAAGTTAACGTAGAGTATTTTTCAATGTTCTACGGTGAGGTTGGAAAGAAAGTAATTTTTTGAAAGTTAATTAAAAAAATTTATAAATAAGTTAACGTGCAAAATATATTTTAGCAAAATCAATTGGTATGGCAAACATTTATAGACTTTTAATAGTCATACTAAGTAATTTGTTATTATTTTGTGTAAACAGACAGCGAGTTTCAGCGGTAAAGTATTTGTTATAATAAAACTAAAAAAAAAATTTAGTTGTTTATCTATCATAGAAATACGATTGCGTCAAAGATGTAGTTGAAAAATTTGTGTGGCATCATCACGAGCCAAACATGATATATGCCACAGCAGAGAAAGGCATTTGTTGGAATAGCGAACAGAAAAGTTTGATGGTACGGAGGTGCAATCACTTGGATCAGAAATGGTATCCAGCCAATGTCACGTGTACGACATCAGCAAATAGAAATAGGTTTTGTCCAGAAGATCTAATAGAATTAAGAATTTCGCCTACAACAAACAAATTTATTTGTCTCAAAATATCTGAGCAACCCGACGTATTTGAAGAGAGGTTCTGCTATGGCGCAAGTGCAATACCAACAATTGCCAACGAACTCGAACCGGAAGAACAAAAATCTTTGATTAAATATTTAAACGAGAAAAACGTAAAAACATTCTGGTTGCCGATGAAGAAGGCATTCGAGAATAAATACAACCCATACGTTGTTAAATTGCCTGGTCGACATTATGGCACAGTCTACGATTTACCATTAACTTTAACCGAACTGCAAGCTGATAAACATTGTCTATCGGCAACTGTAGCCGAAGATGGTACACTGCAAAGCGCGGTGACTAACTGTAGTGACACGCTGCACTCTGTGTGTATATTTAAGAGATATTTTGTAACATATTCGGGCTGTCCGCAGCACTTCAAGGCGCTCAGTTACAGGCCCGCAGAATGCATTGGTATTGACTGGGTAAGTGGTGACTTCCCAAACATTTTGGAGAAATTGACAATGCAAGAATACATACATAATAGAAATAGTATACAATATATATTAGAAACGGATGAACTAAATGAAGAAGATGATAGATATTTCACATTTCGAGATGATAATACGGCGAGGGAATATGTCATCATAATGAATTTAAAGGAGGAAGTTAGACTTGTGAAGCCTCACAGTATTAGAAACAATAAAAAAATTGCAGCACTAAGTAAAGAAGTTCTTAGAAATAAGAAAAACGTAGAAATGACTTTAAAAATGGATGGCGAGTTGGATAAACTCATTTTGACTGTATACAATCGAAATTATGTTTGGCGACTGACTGATAAAGATAAAGATAATTATGGAATTAAGTGTTTTACAAATGCCGACAATGAAATTGTGAAAACTGTGAAAATAAAACTGCTCTGGCAGAATGAGTGTGAAACGAAAAGTATGTTTGAAGTTAAGTTAGATGGAGATGGTCCAGGCTATTATTGGTGTGAGGCACATACGATTTTCGATTTTGCATTGGTCTCGACGCCAAGGGTTGTCGCGACAGATGAACGTAGAGGACATACTTTTGCAATGGACTACATTATAGAAGCTGGAGATAGAGAACTACAAGACTTGCACAAGCATATGAAGGTGTTAAGTAGAAAAATAAAAACAGAACTAGAGAATTTGAAAAACAAAAAGGAATTTAAACAAAAATATGATAATCTAGATATAAACAATGTGCGTATAATGAAAATTTACGAAATTATTCTCAGTGATAGCAACACAAATAATATAAATAAAACAAACGACAATTTGGACTTCAATAATGAAAATAATGATAATGAGCATAGCAATAATAGTAAAAACAACAATAATAGTGAAATCAACAATAATAATAGAGAAAATGTTAATAATGATAATAAAAATAATAGTGATCAAAATAGAAATCGCAATAGCAGAAACTTTACTGATAATAGAAACAATATCACCGGCACTATAAAGTGTTTATGTCACGTCACCGTGTCCAAAAAGTCATCGGGAGTTGATAAAAGCTACGAGGTCAGCAGTGAAGAGGACGATAGCAAGGAAAAGGGTGGCATACGCCATGATACGTTAATACGCATGGAGCTATATGAATTATTACGTACACTAGTGGAACACAGAGGTGTGAAAATTGCAGGCACTGTAAAAAGTACTGAGTATTGCTTTCCGGAAACATTTCGTATGAACAATTCCGCAGAAAACCAATGGCTTCTTGCGCAACTGGATCAAACTGTTACCACACAACAGCTGTGTCTACAACAAAATGGTTTGCCGGTCACACGAAAATGCCAAGGTAATTTCTTGTATGGCGCCACGTGGGAAGATGCTGCTCAGAAAAACTTATTATGTATCGACCAGAAAGATACCATAACACAAAATCTTTATCAATTAGTTGCGAAGAAAGTACCCAAGAAGACGCCCGTGAAGGCAGTAGAGAACGTGAAGACATTACTCGAACGAAATATAGACAATCTTATACCAGCCGATTTTTATTACATGGCGAAAATTATGCAAGGCACAGTTAAAAGTATATTTAGCAACAATACTACATCTAATGTAACTCACGGTGTCAAACATATAAACAAAACTACTAGCGACATAGTGCAAATCTATAATTACCTTATGGAAGTCAAAGAGAGCGTCATAAAACCGTCAATAGTTTTGAATTCGACAAATATATTACTAGACTCTTTTGAACATTTGTTAGATCACCTGTCTTTGGCTGAAGATAATAACGGTCTCGATTTATACAATCTTACAGATGCATCTACCTTAGGAAATCAGGATATATCTCCAACTGTTATGAATAAATTTGAAGAAATGTTTCAGAATAGACTTATAGAGGACAATGATAAATTTGTTGAAACCATTGAATATGAAGATGTGGGTGTTGTGGTCAAAATGGCTACTAACTTTGTGTTTTTTGTTATTGATCCTAAGATCGCAAATGTAACAGGAATAGCATTATTTAACATTTTGGAAGACAACGTTGAAGTTGACTATGATGTATTGGAGTTTAGAATGCGTGGTGCCTTTAGAAATGAGTATTATAATTTTATATTGGCAGATCAGAATGTTGATGAATTACTTTATGCTCCAGATCTGCAAATGGCCACATACGTACCAGAGTTACTGTTGACGCGTTTGGATGAAATTTCAACATTTTCCAATAATACTACAACAAGACGACCAGAGCCGCGAATTGTCATTAAGCTTTATGCAAACTCTATATTATTTCAGGAAGACGAAGAAACAGTTAAGAGTGATAACAGAAAAGTGTTTGGTAAAATAATTTCCATTTCGATACCAGGACACGACAAAGATTTACCTGCTATGCTACCTTTATACTTAAAAGTGGATACAAATTTAAATGAAAGCAGCGCGGAACGTTATTGTAATTATTGGAATTACAAAACATGGGCAAATGATGGCATCTCATTTTTGGGCCATTCTAAACTGAACAATAATATAATCCTATGTGCAACTACACATTTGACCCCATTTGCTTACTTAATAGGCGGTGGCTATCATTTCGCTGATGAGTCGAAGGTTGTTATTGAAAATACCCCACATGAGGAAGCACTGGACATAATCAGCATACTTGGCTGTTCGTTGTCATTATTTGGAATTTTGGGTATAGCAATCACAGCTGGCACGTTTCAATCATGGCGACAAAAGGCCTCATCCAAAGTGCTATTGCAATTGTGCGCTGCAATTGCTTTGCAAATGATACTTTTCTGTTTCATCAACACAGAGGAGAAAACGAGCCAATTATTGGAGAATCAAATTTTTTCCAGTTGCATTGCCATCGGCGCATTTTTACATTATTCTGTGTTGGTGCAATTTTGTTGGATGGTCATAATTGCTTATTTGCAATTTAAACGTTACGTGCAAGTTTTTGGAAATACGAGACCAAAGCGATTTTTTATTAAATCAGCCATACTGGCTTGGGGTGTGCCATTAATACCAGTGTTAATTGTTTTGCTGGTGGATCGTAAGTCCTATTTACCAAATGAGAATTCCGGACATGCTGTGGTCTGCTACCCAACGGGCTACTCACTGTATTTGGGTGTGGTGCTACCAGTAACTGTTATTATAATATCAAATTTAATTATTTTTATTATTATCATTTATAATATCATAAGGGGACCTGAGGGCTCAATACGGCATACCGATAAAAAATTAGCTATATCGCAACTGCGATTGTCAGTGTTATTGTTCTTCTTGTTGGGTTTCACTTGGATTTTTGGACTGCTGACAGCCATGAAGGCGGGCATTTTGTTTTCATATCTATTTTGCTTAACTGCAACTATACAAGGCTTCGTGCTATTCATTTATTTCATAGTACTTGATCCTGTCACAAGGCAGATGTGGAGTAATTATTTCCGCAGAGTTTTCGGCATGAAAGCGCAATATGAAAGTTCGACTTATATGAGGGAAGCTACACCAAGCTTTTAGAATTTATTTACTGTAAAATAATATTGTTTTTTTAACTCTGTAAAGAAAAATATTTATTGTTTAATCTTAATATTTATTATTTTATTATATTTCATTTTTATATTGTGTACTTTAGAAGCAAGTCATTAAAGTAATTATTATTTTTTGCTGTTATAAATTTTTTTATTCTATAAAATATGGTAAAATATGGACCGAACCATTAAAACCAAATATTATCCGAAGCATTTAAAAATTATATTGTATATATAATCCATTTTTTTTTGTTAAGATACACACTTTTGATAAGTCATCGCCAATGTGTTTATTAATTGTAATTTATATATAAACAACTTAAATAAATAATTTTATATTTTTGCTAAATAATTATATGTTTAATAAATAATAAATTTATTTAACTAATGTAAACTAGTGGGAAATATGTTTCTGTTAAATGATTCCTTTAAGATTCAATAAAATATTGGACGAAATTCGGTTTAATAAATTTATGTATTTAAATATATATACGTCTATAATTTTTTTATGAAGAAAATATTACTTATAGAACTTCTAATTGAT